CTATGAATCTGATAAACAGGAAACAGTGAGGCAGAAGTGAAAGTTTCATGCGTGAGAATGAGGTTGGAAAAAACAACTATATAGCTTTAAGCATGCCCAAACACACTATCAAATACACACACATAAGCAATATGACAATATAAAGTCTTTATTATGATAAATTGACACAATATGCTTTTCTGAGTAAATCAATTTGTTAGTTTTTTTTCTCTCCTATTCATTCTTAAAATAGTTTTTGGAATTTTTTGGAAATGTGTTTTTGGAAAAACTACGCATCAAAATGAGAATTGTGGGCTGATGCAAATATCCAATATTCTTCAGCTACATCTACCAATACTGATACTGATGCATAAACATTTATAAAATGTGTGAACTTGACCGTAACAATAATAATAATAATAAACATATACAAACATAAACATCACATTAGCATTAAAATTAGCTCAACATTAGCCTGGCTGTCCGTCCAAAGGAGATTTTCGCTCGCCACTACTCAAATTAGCCAGAACCAGCTGAGAGCAAGTTTGTAAGTTAGAAAGAGATTTCCCTGACAGCTCTGGGCAGCTCTTGGCAGATTCTGGTGTCTTTCTGGTTCAAAGGATTAAAACCATTTAACCACCATTTAAAGGATTTTCCCACTCAAATTCATCATTTTTAAATGAACCAACCAGCAGCTAGGTTTAAATAGTAGAGGAATGGGAAAGAGCATCAATAAGGTAATACACCTCAACAAGCATGTCTACATACATTAACATTATTTGTGATGTGTAATTTTAGTTCAGTGAGACTGACTATTTAAAATTAGTAAAGGTTCTAATATGTAAAATGAAAGCTATAGCCAGCTAACTATCACATGGCAACTATGGCTAATTATGGCATAACACTTAAAAAGAACAGGCCAGCTTACAAACTGGCTATCAGCTCATGCTTTAGTTATGTACTCTTTATATAGCCAATGTTTCAATGCTACTGTTAACGTTTTCCCTTTACATGCTCAAAGTAGTTTTCTAATATTAGCTTGAGGCTAATGTGTTAGCTTGTGGCTAGCGCATTAGCTCAGGGCTGGCACGTCAACTCACAGTAAGCATGCTAGCTCGGGCCTGGGGGGCTTGCTCTGTGCAAGCACTTTGTCTTGTGACAGCAGTGGCATGTCCACTCATCTGCACACACATAATCCTTCTAAGCAAGTCAGTGGAACTAGAAGAAAACAGTTTAAAAACAGGTGCTGTGGTCATTATCCTAAGGTGATATTTTCTGGTTCATATGACCATTCATTGCCAGGAGTGCTTTACATTAGTTTGAGTTTGCAGTTCCACAACAGCTTGCAGTTGTGGAGTTCTTGCCTCATCATTCAAGTTTCTAAACACTTCTATTCAATATGAGATATTGGAGTTCTGTGGCTGCCTGTGACTGCCAAGGCCAGGCCACATCAGTTAGTTCTACTCACTTTCTGTTGTTTCTACTTATTAACAGTGTGTGAGCCAAATCTGAGACCAAGGACCCAGCCGTATACTGGGCCAAAACAAACCCAGAGGTGTGGCCCACATGTCAGCCAGATGAATTTTGCTAACTGTAATTATACTCTTTGCAACAGAAGTTAGCACGTAGCCAGCTAAGAGAAAGTTTATTAGTCTGAAGGAGACCTTCACTCTTAACATTAATAAAATGCTGATATTTTAGTGCAGTAGCCCAGCATCCCAAACTTTCTGCTCTTGCGAAGTACATAACTACGATATTGGTTTAAAATATCAGACAAATCTAAACATTGGTCCGATGCTGATAATTTTTTTCATGAAATATCTGCCAATACCAATATGATTCTGATATCATTAGTGAGATATCATAAAAATGCCTACAATTATTGTGATATTTTTTCCAGATTAGCTTTGGACTCTTACACTGTTTGTGTACACAGATGTCACCAGTACTAGTAACAAATTTTAAATATCTGACACAAACTACTACAAGCCTTTCTACTGAACTTCATTCCTTCCGTCTCTGTTTTTAGCATAGTGGTTTGTTAGCGCAGCTGACCTACAGGAAGAATATTACAACTACAAATTACCATTTTCCCTCAGGCTCAGAAGTTTCTGTCAGGAGTTTCTTTGCCACACCCTGCACCTCACACACAAGCTTAGTCATCCTAAACCAGGAAGTCTACATGAACAGGTGAGTGCTGGTATGAATGTCCAAGACTGAGCTGTATAAACCACATGTGAACAATTTCCTTATTTTATCCTTTTATGTGGCTGATTCCTTGCATTATACTTTCACAAAAACACAAAGTTCTCTGTACCGCTGCTTATTTTTACTGTCCCAAGTTTAGCATGATTCCTATGCTGTCCTCTGACTAATGTTTACAGTCTTACATGAACACCCACACCCACCCACACATACACACACATACATACACAAACACACTGAGATATTACAGTAACCTGACACTCAACATGCAAGTATAATGGCTCAAAGCACAATCACTGCTGTCTAAAATGACATGCAGGGTACTGGCTATGCACAATAATTACCTTAATTTATTTAAATTAAACCAATTGTCTACACTGTTTATCAAAAGTTAACAGACAGCTTGCTTTCTTTTGAAAGTTTCTGAGTAAACTGTGAGTGATTTCACTTGTTACTTTTCAGCTAAATTAGAAGAAATCTGCAAAGGCTGTGTTAGCATAAAACAGCTATTTGCTAATCCTCTGAGTATATTTAGCGTCAACACTCAGCTTCATTATACATCAAAGTGACTTACTTGTTATGAAGAGCAGGTTTAGTGTTAATAATTTTACAGTTTACTTTTCAAAACTACTGTTAAAATAGTTGGCTCAAAGGTGGTTGAGCTGATGAGTGCAGACAAAACAAGGAGAGATAAAATGAATAGCCTTTGACCCTAATCCCAAAGCAGGGCTTTTGGCAGTTGTTCCTTTAGTTTTGCAGTTTTTGCAAAGAAAACTTTAAGACCTAAAGAGCTTACTATTTAAAGGGGTAAAACAAGCTCATTAAAAACAATTTGGAATTCTAGAAATGTCTGACACTTTTGTTTGCAGTCATACGGTCAGTCATGTGGCCATTAAAACAAAAAAAGTAAACAATATTTATATTATTAATAATTAAAATGATAGTGTTATTCTAAAGACACAATCTATAGAGACCCATGGCCACCATTTACAAACATTTTGAATAAGCTAAAGTTAGAGTGATTTGTACTTCTCTAGGAAGTTTCGAAGTTAGTGGGGTTAAGGGGACCATACTGTGATGAAGGGCATCACAACTTGCCCCAAGACACTTTGAGCATAACGTGGATATAATCAGTACTTCAAGGGTAATCCCACTGATTTTTCAAAAATGTGCATAATTCAATCATTAGAGTCATTCAGAGTGGTTTGATGGGAAATGCTCTAGAGTCAGAATTGTTTACAGTGGTAGTCATAGGAAGCACATCTGAAGAATTTTACGCCTCTAAAATCGACTTCATTTACCTGCAGTTACCTGCAAGGCAAAAACAGTCTCTAAGGAGAATTTTACCATCAACATTACACATAAAAACTCAGAACACTCATGTAGATTCACTGGTCTTTTTGGATAGTACATAAAATTGCTATATTTGCGTTTTAGCCATTGCAACCCTCGGTTCCTATCACCACCATTGTAAAGAAATAAGAGTTCTGTGTAACTTCCTTTTAAAGGGCACTGACCAGCTGCTTTTTTTTAATTAAATCACTGAAATTTCATTTGTCTGTTACAACCTTTCAAGGTTAAGAAAAAATATTATGAAAAGATATTATGTATTATGTATTGTGAAAATGTTTCACCATGTCACCCACACCAAAAAAAAAACCTTTTTTACTTCTACTCACAAATTATATTACCCACAAAGTGTATTTTCCTCAGTTCCGCTTTAACCATCCATGTTTAGTTAATGATTCTCTTCTTTTTTTTTTTTTAGTTTAATTGGATGTCGTTCTGTTGTTTTAGCACCTGGACAGCTTTGCTGTTGCCCACACCTCCCACTCCGGAGCATTAGCATTTTATTTTTGCCCAAGAGGGTCCCAAAATAAGAAGTGGAGCTTAACAGACTTCAGTTGCTATGCTCAAAGATGCTAGATGTACTAAGAAGATCCACTACAGTTCTATGTAACTCAGCACTCCAGCTCCAGGTGGGTATTTCACAAAGCAGGATTTCTCAGTCAGCCTGAGAAATCAAAAAGCCTGTCCAATAGGGGAAGAGATAAGGAACATTCCCAGTGGATAATCCTCAATTTTTCGCTTAAATTATCCAGCTTACTGAGAACTCCTGCTTTGTGAAATACACTCCAGACTTCTGACTTTTTTAATTAAGTTGCTGGTCTAGTTTTACATCTGCTTTAGTCACCTTCATTGACGTAGCAGTACTTTTTTTCTAGAGTATGATTGTTTTGCTCATTCTGGTTAGCGCTGTAGCAACCTGTCTGCAGCTTTTACTCACTTTACAACCCTGGAAGTGCGCGCGCATACAGACTGTGTGGAAAAGCCTGTGGGGATGTGGTTTAGCACCACGGCCTGACACCGGAAGTTGTGACATTGCTGCAGCATTGCTGCTGTTTTTTTCTGCTCGATGAAAAGCAGAAGGATCCTGAAGCATCTCCAGCAAAACAGTGCAAGCTAAAATCACCCTGCAATAAAGTACGCGACCACGAGACGCGTCCCTGAGTCGCTGTTTCAGCAGGCCTGAACTACAGGAGCCAGAGAGCTCCACTGCTTCAAACGACTCGATCGATACGACCAATACAATCGATATGTTCGATCTAATCATGCTAACAGACAGCCCCCATACAACACACAACAGCTAAATACGACTGTTGGCTAGCACAAACACCAACGTGACACTATAGCAGCCTAAGAGCCTCTGCTAGCACGTGCATTGTTTTGAATGTGTACTGTCCGCAGCTAAAACAACGCTTGTATGTAAACGCTGCTATTGATTTATTAATGTAGGGATTATTATTGGTACGTACCGTGTGCGCGCGGACTGCCACTGCTGCTCCCTCCGTACTGTCGTTTTCGTGTGTGTGTATGTGATGGCTGTAAAAGTGTGTTTTGCTTCCTGCTTTAGGTAGTAGATGCCTTTTTTGATGGGTGGGGCTCTCGAGCGCGAGTCAGAACACGCGCCGCCGTTATCAGAGTGTGTGCGTGCATATCAGTATCTGTGTGTGTGTCAGTCTGTGTGGAGGTTATTTGTGGAGTGTGTGTCAGGAGACTTGCACGAGATCCTAGATATCCGCGATGCGCGAGCAGAAATGTGTTTCATATCCCTCGTTCAGGTAAAGCGCTGAGGCACATGAGGGCTGCATATAGGCCATTCTACACGTTTTGGAGGTTTAACTGACTTGGATAAAGTTGCATAAAATCCTAATATTTCTCATTAAAACACAAAAAAGTTTGCTTATTGTTAGAAGACATGTTTTGGTCGTGACGGTTCTTAAGGTTTCACACTGATTTTAAGACTATGAGACATACTTCAAAACAATGGGATCTAACTGATCAGGCTGGTTAGGGGTTGCAACAGCCACCTCTCAATAAAAAGTAACCTATAAATGATGATTTTGCATGCTTTTAGCTTATTACTATCTCAGTTAATGCCTTGGGATTAAATAGATCACAACATAATTCTTGTAAATACCTAAGCTCTGAATACATAATTGCGTTCATTTAATCAACCACAGTAATTGGTTGTAATGTAATTACACAGTAATTTGGTACAATGGTCCAAATATGTAAATGTACACACAATGGGGTCCAAAAGTCTGAGACCGCCAGTGAAAGATGGATGGCTAAAAGAGCCTGCTATTCCGATTGCTATTCCAGCTGTTTTTCAGTGGCCTTTTCTGCTGGTTCTAATAAAACAGCATTACTTTGAGCAGAAAAATGGCATCCATCTTCTTTTGGTTTCTTTTCCACCACAAAGCCACAATATCTTCATATATAAAATGCAGTTTAATATTTAATACAACTACAATTTTTTTTTTCTCTAACTTACCTATAACATAATATTCTGTCACACTGACTTAATAAAGAGTTACACAATGGCTATCCAACATAGCACAATTATCAGAATCAGAATCAGAATCAAGCTTTATTGTCCAGGTATGCTTACACATACAAGGAATTTGGTTTTGGTTACAGGAGCTCACAGTGCACAGTGTCAGACAGACATTTACATGTAGTGAATAAAATAAAATAAAATAAAATACAATAAAATAAAATAAAATACAAAAAAATAAAATAAAACATGTCTTCCCACCATCACTCACTCACACACACACACACACACACACAGTCATACCTGTAACCTTTATATTATGCAAAGTATTAATCTAAAGGTAAAGTGCTGAGTGCAGCAGCAGTTAAAGGGTGTATAGTGGCAAAGAAAGGGATCAATGAGGTGACAGTCAGATAAGTGGGGTAATAAGGCAGGAAGTAAGATGCTAGAATAAACACTGGTCTGAGATGGTAGTTTCAGAGGATAGAGTTGAGTTTGATACTATATACCAGTGTTTTAGAAGTGCAGTTAGAAGCTGGAATATTGTTTATGTGTAATATTTTAACTGTTCAAGAGAGTGATGGCTTGTGGGAAGAAGCTCCTTTGTAGCCTGGATGTCCTGATCCTCATCTGGCTGAGGCACCGGCCTGAGGTAAGGAGCTGGAACAGGTGGTGTCCGGGGTGGGTCGAGTCAGTGGAGATCTTCTCTGCACCCTTCCTGGTTCTGGAGGCATGCAGTTCCAGCAATGTGGGCAACTTAACCCCAATTGTCCTCTCTGCAGACCTGATGATGCGCTGCAGTCTGTGGAGATCATGCTTGGTTGCTGAGCTGCCCCACACTGTGATGGATGTGGTGATAACAGACTCTATGATGGCTGTGTAGAACTGCACCATCAGCTCCTGGGGCAGTTTGAACTTCCTCAGCTGACGCAGGAAGTACATCCTCTGCTGGGCTCTCTTGGTGATGGAGCTGCTGTTGCTGTCCCACTTCAGGTCCCTGGTGATTGTTGTGCCCAGGAACTTGCAGGACTCTAGTGCCACCACATTTCTGTCCAGGTGAGTGCTGGCAGGCTTGGAGGGCTCCTCCTGAAGTCCACTGTCATCTCCACTGTTTTCGCTGTATTCAGCACCAGGTTGTTGTGGCTGCTCCAAAGGACCACCTGATCAACCACCTGTCTGTAAGCAGACATGTCACCGTTTCGGATGAGACCAATGACTGTAGTGTCATCTGCATACTTCAAGATTTTGACTGAGGGGTCCGTGGAGGTACAATTGTTCGTATACAGTGAGAAGAGCAATGTGGAGCGCCTGTACTGATGATCTGGGTGTTTGAGGTAAACTTTCCCAACCTCACCTGCTGCTCTCTGCCAATGAGGAAGTTGGTGATCTACTGGCAGGTGGCGGTTGGCACGCTGAGTTGGAGTAGTTTGTTGTGTAGCTGTCCTGGGATGATCATATTGAAGGCTGAGCTGAAGTCCAAGAACAGAATTCTTGCTTTTATGAGGCATAAAAGCTAGAAATCATAAGAAAAATAAAGTTATATTAGTGGTTATTGCTTCTGTGTGCAAAGCAAGAGATATAAGTTTTTATTCTTTTTTATTATGAGCTCCAGATTTTTATGCTTTGGTCAACTAGCAAGCCAGTGTCTCCTACTGCAATGTTTGAATTTTTTGTTGTCGCTTTCCAGGCCTTAAAAATCCCCTGAGTTTCACCACTGTTGGAAAGCCACACAAATGTTCACTCCAGTTTAACCTTTATCCAACCTCTTTGTGTTGAAAGCCTTTTCTACTTTGTCTTTCTTTTCTTTCTTTTTTTAGCATTGCAAGCTGTTGTAGATACCATTCTTGTGAGCCTACCTTGCTGCCTTTCAGCTGTGTGTGTGTGTGTGTGTGTGTGTGTGTGTGTGTGTGTGTGTGTGTGTGTGTTTGTGTGTGTGTGTGTGTGTGTGTGTGTGTGGAGCCGTATGACAGACTCCACACATGCTCAAATGAGAACACGTGCAGAGCGCACGCACGCGGGCAGGCCGAGAGCTCAATAGGTAGACAGGTAGGTAGGCCATTCAGTCATTTCATTCAGTCCTTGTATTGTCAGTGCATTTGATTTATTGATTGCTATTAAGATGTAAAGAAACATTTTTGGTAATTCCTTATTCTTCAAGTTCATGACAAGGCTATTCCATAACATTTTTCGTGATGGCCAAATTAGGAACAGGAAGTGTGTCATCAAGTGTTGCTTTTTTTTCTACTTTCGGAAGCCATATTTGCCACTTAGCCAATGTGTTATTGTTTGGAAGCATGGCACCTGTTGCATAACACGGACAGGAACATGCATAAGTTTTAATCCGGGATACCTGAGGTAATTTTGGAAATTACACAGATCTTTGTCGTATATGAATCAGACAGTCAAATTATGCACAGATTACATTACCCGACCTCCTCTGGTAAAACTAATCCAGGTCGAATAGGGCTTTTAACCGATAACATATTTGTTAATCCATGGTAAGGATTACTGGTATACTGCATATATGAAATATGAAATCCTGTGAACAATGATGTGTGACAAAAGGCTGATTTATACTCCTATAAGAGCTAACTCATGGCTCCAAAACGGCTCTTCATTCAGTAGCACTGTCAGTATTTTAGTGCCCAGAATTAACCAAGTTAGCAATATTATCCATCATTTAATTAAATTTAATATGTAAAATTCATTTAAAATTCATTTAAAAACTCTAAATAACTACATAACAAAATAAGCTTTATGTTTGTTGTCAGTTGTTGATAAGTAGTTTCACTGGATGAATTTTGAGAGGCAGTAGTCACAGTTTGGGCTAAATTGAGGCAAACGCCTTAACCCCACCAGCAGGGCCACAGTTTTATTGCACACTTTTATAACAAAAGAATAGCTATTGAAAAGAATAGATTTGTTAGCAACATTAGCCTCACTGCTCCAGTTCCAAACTAAAGAAACAAAATTTGGATTCCATACATGTCTCTGCCAATCAACTACATCTGGGGTAAGAGGAAAATTGTGTCAATTTGCTATTTTCTGAACCATTCCTTTAAACATAGCCCAACATAGCATAAGCATAATTAAAACTTGAAACAGGAGACTCCTTAAACCAAAACGATGCCTCAGCTCATCATTGCCGCAAATGTGGTTAGAAATTAGCAGAAAGATTTGCTAGACATATGGCTCCTCTACTGGTTTTCTTCTGAATGTGTCTGAATATGTAAAAGTGTGATTTGGGAGGACAAAGCAGAAATGTTGACTCTCTGAGGCTCCCTAAGGAATGGATTGGGAAACACCTGTATAGCCATGAATGAACATGAATACAGTGCATGCTGCCAGTATTGATCGGTCTGGTCATTTAACTCAAAGCTTTGCATCCTTTTCAGAATGGTCTACACCAAATGCAGCAGGTGCAGACTGGGCTTTGGTTGAAATATCCATGCTTCCCATTCTGCCCTCTACAAGCCTGGACCAACCAGTTGCGGTGCACAATGTGTTACAGAAAAAAAAACATACTGAGACAAAATGCTATCCAAAAGTGCATTATCAAACATCACAAGTCAAAGCCTATACAGCCGTGTTTCAACACCAGTGATTCAAAGCCACTGATTTAAAGTCATGCTGAAGCAAAATCCAAGAATGCAGTAAGAAATATTTATCTGATTATGTAATAACCCAACTTACACACACTCACACACAGTGCAGTGCAGCAGTGAGATTGCCTGTAACCTATGCCTGTAACTATACAACTACAGTCATATGCGAAAGTTAAAAACTTCAGTGAAATTACATGTATTGTTTATTTTCTAAGTAAAAAATAAGTTAACACATTTTTTACATAGAACATACTTCATGGCCAGTTTCTGCAAATTTTAGTGTACAAATTCTATGTATTTGTTAAATTTAACATACTGGGGAAAAAATAAACATGAAAAATAAAATGTGCTGTAGTTTTTGCATAAGCCATATTTCATGCTTTTTTCCCCCACTATGATAAATTCTAAAAATAAACAATAATTATGCATTACAAAAAGCAGAAGTATCTTTTCTGTTGAGGATATGTACTTATTCTCATTTAGACAATCAAGAAACATGTCATTTGA